CCAGCTGCCCCACCCCCCAACCCCCACCTCTCTCTCCCCCCAGCTGCCCCACCCCCCAACCCCCACCTCTCTCCCCCCAGCTGCCCAACCCCCACCTCTCTCCCCTTAGCTGCCCCACCCCCCACCCCTCGCTCCCCCCAGCTGCCCCAACCCCCACCTCTCCCCCCAGCTCTCCCGTCGCCGGTAAACAGTGCACGCACTTCAAACATTGTCGTTTAATTGTACAAACAATTCATTTAAAACGTGATAACATGTGCAATATTAGTGTGAGTGGTTTAGTCAGCAGTTCTTTAGTCAAAGGTAAGTGTTGCATTGTTGATAGTCCTACCATGAAAAAAATTCACGAGTTATGACATGTCATACGTGTAAACAAAATTGGGATAGCCCGCAACTCCATATACCCCGCAGGGTCTTGTTTTGTTTGAAAAAGTGGTAAACCTCGCGAGTTATATGCGGGAAAATACGGTAATTACAAGTGAAAATATTTCTACATTTAGATATGATACTGCTGATGATGATAAGTATGTTGATGGCAGGTATTACTGACGATCATGACGATGAGAACACTGGCGTTATTACGTTGTCATTCTAAAAGTGTCAAACCATTCCGTGCCCTGCATGTAAGCGACAGCATTAAAACAACATTTCTGGAAGTAAATTTTCAGTAAATAGAATTCACGGTTCCCCTTTCCGTGTGCGTAGTAACACGCCACACGCGCCTGATGATTTCGAAAGACGTGCCACGTGTGTTTGGTTCAGGGCCAGCGCCTTCTGCGTGGTGAGTTCATTGTGTGGTGAGTTCAACGCGGCAGCTCCTGTACAGAAACATAAATAAATAAACAAACGCGCTCCGCTTTTGACATAAATAGTCCGGAATGGTCCGAGTCGCTGCACTGCCCTCTGCTGTCCACCCCGTAGCAACCGCATCTTTGTGCCAGCCTGGTTTTGTGCGCGGTGACCACACATCCACGCACTATCCAGGTTCAACCATGCTTGGCTTCCGAGATGTCACCGGTTCGGGCGCAGACCGCGTGGCTTCTTCACAGGCCGTAGAGCTCTGCGTGTGCGTTCCTGCCTCTGTACAGCGAGGGGTACACACGTGTGCGTTCCTACGCAATGTGTCCAGTCGAATGACCGCGCTCCCACGGGACGTCCCGTGTTGGATGAGTCGAGTACGAATGCGGCATTGTCAGCCTCTTGCAAAACATTTGGTCATGACCATTTTCTCAATGTGCGATGCACGGCAGACTGATAGTTTCAGTAGAAATACTACATCATCATCTGCTTTTGTGATCATCTTCCTAGCCGTCAACTGTTAATAAATGTTAAATATAATAACTTGTCGTATTTAATCCATCGTCTTCTTTTTGAGGACTGCCAGGAATGAGTAATGATAAAAGCTTTCTAAATCATCATCAGTGTCATCATTCATCATCAGCACGAGCATTGAGATCGTCAGCAGCAGCTGATTCCATGCTCAACAGTCAAGCGTTGTGTCATGGACGCTCTTCAGCTGGTTTCCTTGCAGAGCCAACAGCTTCAGCTTGGTGAGTTTGGCAATGCCAGTTGGCAGCTGTGTGAATTTGTTGCAGCACAAATCCAGAACATCTATATTCATGAGGCGGTTAAACAGTCCCTCGGGTAGAGCCGTCAGCTGGTTGCTGTACAACTTAAGTTCCTTCAGATTCGTCAGTTTGTCAAACATCCCGGCGGGTATGGACGACAGTCGGTTCAGATGCAAATACAACTGTTGCAGATTGACCAGTCGGTCAAACACCCCCTCGGGTAGAGCTGTCAGCTGGTTGTTACGAAGGGTGAGATAAGTCAGTTGCGTTAAACTGTCCAACACCACAGAGGGGCGAGCTGTGAGTTGATCACTGAGCGCGAATCGCAGATCCGGAGCCTCCGCCTCTTGCTATAGAGCGTCCTCTACAAGAGAGCGTCGCTTTTCACACGGCAGTGGAGTTCAACACGGGTCCCTAGGTCGCGTTAGCGGCGTCGTGTTCACCTCACATCTGGACAGCTCGCATCATGCTGTGCCCACTGTCTGCGCGGTGCGGTATTCAGAGCTCGCCTCGCATTCCCTCTGGAACATTTTTGCCCGATCAGTGGAATTAATTCCGTCATTCGCCTGTCCATGGGAGGCCTCATCGAGTCCCGAGACTCAGGAGGATGCTGCTACAGCAGAAGGTGTGGCCAATTCCTGTGTGAGGAGAGTGTCATGTTGTTGGTGCTGTTTGTACAATAGTTTCGTGTGGTTGCTGTTGTTGTACTGTGGTGTTGTTGTGTAGATTTGTTTTTTTCATTGCATTGTTTTTATTGCGTTGATCTGTGGTTCTTGTTGTTGTGTGGTTATTATTGTTCTGTTTTTTGCTGCACTAACACAAACCCGCACAGCATGCGCGAGTTTCTGTAAACGATCAATATCAGCTCTCATTATTCACACGATTCACTCATTTAATCTTCATACTGCATAATAACGGGTAGAGCCGAAAGCTGGTTTCTCTCCAGATACAGGTGCTGCAGTTTCACCAGGCGATCAGAAATCATAACTCTTCACAGAACAATGGCGCAATTACGTTGTCATTATAAGCGTGTCAAACCATTCCGTGCCCTGCATGTAAGTAACCGCTTTAAAACAATCTATCTGGAAGTACATTTTACGTGAATAGAATTCACGGTGCCTCCTTCCGTGTGCGTTTACGCAAGCTTCTCCGTTCAAACACAAAGTGAATAGTTGCACGCTGCACGCGTCTGTATACAGGGCCGAAAATGACCAGAAAATCCACAAACAATTCTATACATTCATCAATAGCACTGCCTTAAAGGGAAAAACATCTATGAAACATTGCAGGAATGTGCATTTACGAGACATGAAGAAGGGCCATCGCCTGAAATGTCACCTTTTATATATTTCCGGTTTTGGCAGCGTGTGTGTGTGTTGAGTTTGTTTTGGTGTCTGTGCTCATGTACCACTGCCAGGGCAGTATCAACAAATAATTTGTAAAGTTCCAGAAGGCGTCGTGGAGTCTACTAAAGCTGTGACTTCAGGAACACATTCAGACCGAATGAATACAGCGCCTGACCTGGCTGGTGAGTCTACGTGAGCTTTTACTGCGTGATAAAACATTAACGGAGCTGCCCGCAGGCGCATCGAAGTTGCCGCCACTGACTCACTTCGGTCTGGACCTAAACTAGTTTAAGAGCATTGCCGTTAGATTGGTTTGCTCTTTCCATCGTGTGCTGTATACAGGAAGCTCGAGCTGAACTCGGGCAAAACGTTCAGCGCTGGCGGCGCTCAATGCCCGGGTCAGTTGTCAATCTCTCCAGCGAGGAGTAACAGATTAAGGTGCAGCCCTGCAATTGCATGGCTCAGCCTCAAATAATTACCTGCTGTGGTGTGTAAACATCGCCACTCGGGAGGCAAATGCGGCCGAACGTCGTGCTATCTGCCCACCCCCTCGTCTACCGTGCTGGTCTTCATAGATTCTCGCTAACTTCACTTGCCCCAAAAGTTTGATGAGGCTATATGGGGGATCTTTGTTTTGTTTTAATTATTCGTAAGGAATCACTATCGCCGTGGCAATAGCAGGAGCCTCAGTTTCTCGTGTCTCCACCAGTGCCGCCAGACTGTCAAACACGCCGGGCTCGAGCTTCGTGATCTTATTGGTGTACAAATACAGCACTTGCGTGGTGGTGGGGATTCCCGCAGGCACAGACGCGAGTCTTCTCTCATGGCAGTTCACTTGTGTCCCTGAGCACGAACACTGCGAGGGACAGGCAACTGTTTAGAGGCGGCTCACAACGGCCTCCCCTTGCACGCGAGCGGCGTCGCGTGTGATCCAACCTTTACACGAGTTGCCTCTTACTGAAGACTTCCCTGCAAAACGTTGTTTACGAAACATTTATAGTGCTTGGTACATTTAGAAATCACTTGTACAAATTGATTGTTTCGGAGTTGTGTTGTTATACAGTATCTATTTGCTTCTTTATTTTAATTACTGTAATTGGTTTTGGATCATAAGTGTAATTATTAATTTATTATGTATCCCTTGAAAATAGAGATCTGCATTCCAATAAGCTCGCCATGATCATCTCACTACTGGATGAAGGTCTCTACAATCCGTAGTCACGACCATGCGATGTATTAATCTACTGCGCACCTGCACACAAGCTGCTGTCATTACTCCATCTCTATGGTGGACGTGCTTTAAGGCGCGTCCCCTCCCTTGGGTGCCACTCTGCTATTGTTATCGACCATGGTCAATGTGCATTGGCCATCGTGGATTATTCCATCATACCTTCTCGCGATGTAGCCTGGCCATGCCAGCTTATTTTTTTTTAACCGTTTGATCAAATTTTCACGAGTTTATTTTCTGATCCACGTGTTCCGTTATCTCTCAATGTCATTCCAAGCATGCACCTCGAAGTGCTTCTATGCGCGCTTCTCAGTTGTGCTTTGAACCATCTGCTATGGGAAGTGGTTCACACGAATCAACATGTCTAGTAGTAGACACCTGGCATAGACAGGTTAAAAATATAAAACGTTGTTAACAATCAACTTGTCTATGTTGGTGTCAATTCCCATGCATGCCCTCTTTGTGTACCTGCATTTGTTTATATATATATACTTTTGGGGGAATAAGGCTTTCGACAGTGTGCACGGGGAGTTTTATTTTCAACACCTACTGTTTACCAGACAATAACAGACGTTTCCATCATTGGACCTCCTTTAACAGTACCAAAATATAATAATAGGGTTTTCCCACCTTTTTTCTGGCAACAAAACTGAAAAAGGTATCAGTTTTGTTGCCAGAAAAAAGGGGAAACCCCTATTATTACAACAGACGTTATAAGTATCTTTTTGCGATGGCAGTCAATTTATAGTGCAATATAAAAGATAACAATTTGAATTTGTTTCAACTTGTTCGACAAGGATATGCTTAATTAATTCAAACATGTGAACAGTGCATTAACTTCATAGGTGTGGTAGAGGTACATCACCATCGATGTTCAATGCCATGATCTGCTTATACTGGGGGAGTCCACGCAGATACGTCTTTGAAACGCGCCGATGGGGACGTTCTTTAGTTGATTGTTCAGACCCAGATGAGTGAGCTGGGTCAGTTTGTCAAACACCCCATCGGGTAGAGCCGACAGCTGGTTACCTCCCAGATACAGCTGCTGCAGATTCACCAGGCGGTCAAACAGCCCAGCGGGGAGAGACACGAGTTTCTCACTACGCAGGAACCTCAGACACTCACTCTCCTCTGTTTTACGAGACTCTAGCAGGGTGAATGTAAATACGACTTAAAGGAGCACTGGCTAAATTGTATTGCCACATCAAGCTTGTGAGCGGATTGGTGTTGTTAAAAGCATTAGGAAATTAATAATGTATAGCTCTTTGTCTATCAACTGCTGGATGCAGTGACCACATGTTTCCACGCTAGTTGTCACCACTAAGAGAGGATGAGTTATCTTGCTTTATTTGAATAAACTAAGAGAAATTTTTAATTAAATAGACAGAGCTTGAACGTGACTGGACATTCACAAATAATTATGTCCAATCGTCATAAGCGCTGCCTTAAAGGGAAACAAATATATTAGAGGTTAAGTTGTGGTTATATTGAACATAATTTCCCTTAATCCACGCTACTAAGAGGCAGCGTACCCACCCTACTAAGAGGCCGCATACCCACTCTCTCACATTTACAATAAAAACAACTTTCTAGATATGGTCGTAATTTAACGACGTGTAGGCCACCTTATCATTCGTCATCACGTGGAGGAAGAGGAAAGGCGACTGAGAGAGAGGAAGCGGAGAGTTACGCGCAGCCTATAGCCTAGTACAAGCACTGCGTCGGTTATATGTGTTTGATCATTCTTCACTCTACTGAAGTGGTGATGATCATCACTCGCTTCTGATGTTCGCCGTGGCTGACGACCAAACCCAGGTCACCGTGTTCATACCGCAGTGCGCTAACCACTGGTACCACCACTCCTCGCATTATTTCACACATTATCAATAAAAAAATGTAAACGTTCTTCCAATGTTCATAATTAAACGATTTTGTAGGCTACTTTATCATTCATCATCACGAGGGATTAGAGAGAGGTGAGGAGGCTGAGAGCTCCGCGCAGCTCACTGTCCAAGGGGTTGTTAGTATGGATTCCAGCAGTCACGTAAGCTTCAATTCAAGATTGAACCGCCTCCAAGGGGAGTGTTTCCACACATCTGTTAGAGCTTTTAACAGACTGTGAGACAGGAAGGCTCACCTGATCGAGTCGCTAACCTTTCTCAAGAGATGCCGCGATAACCAGGTAATACCGATCGCATTTACTGTACACTCACATCTGCTGCTGTCACTTCTAACGCTAAACGGATCTTGTTCAAAGCTCACCTATCGATACTCCCAGAGAGAATAAGACTGCTCAGATTTGAACTTGATAATTTAGACAAGACTCTCTTACAATCACACTTAAAATTAACGGATAACCTGTCCACTTCTGATTGTGACCACGTAGATAACATGACAGTTTATTCTGCTACTTTAATGTCATCCACGTTAACTTGATCGCTAAATTCAACCTCCTGTCTAAAAAGAAGCCAGAGCCACACATTCAACCTGATGACGGTCGCTTGTGTAGTGATAGAAACGTCATTTATTTTATTTTATACCTACGTGACTTGACCGAAAGAACCAAAGAGTATGTGAGTGAGGCCCTTGAGGTTGTCAAAGGCGCCCCTGGGAATGCTCTTCAGCTGCCCCGCGTTGATGCGCGATTGCTTTGCACTGCGTTCTGTTAACACCGCAATGGAAGTCACGCGTGCACAGATTCACGTGTGATGGCATATGCACTAACTTAGCAGAGCGTGACATCAAACAGGTGAAGAGTAGACACAACGGACATCGGTGTATCTTGAGATCGATCAAATCAGTGATGGTCGACAGCAGTGACGATGCATATAATGACTGTCACACACGCGTTGTCTCCTCAGTGCTGATGCTTACACACCATAGCAGGTACAGTGCTCAGTTAAGGGTGAGTCGACCGAGGGGATAGCCATGTCCGGTTCAGATTTTCCAGAAAGATACTAGACACGGTCAATAAAATTAGTTGAATGTACTGGATCCCGGAATAGAAATGTGGAAATCCCGTAGCTTCCCGCAGGGGTGTTTGACAGTCTGATGCACTTGATTGAGCCTGTGTGATAATCGAATCCACGTCGGTTTCGATCTCCTGGTCAATCTAAAGGAACTAAAGTTGAATACTATCCAGTCGACGGCTCTGCCCACTGATGTCCATCTCAATGTGACCTAACTGACGCGAGTGGCGCTGCTCAGTCACAGCTGGAGACCGTTTCACCTGTCCAGGTTTTACCCACGATCACGTGCAGTCCGTGTGCAAGATGCACGCTGATATGGGACTGTGAAGTCATTGTTTAGCCAAGGCGAAGTGCTGAATTTACACAGCCGGGTCAGGTTGTTGTGGATCATGGGTCCATTGGTCAAAGTGAACCTTCGTCTAAGCCCGTAAATATCCTCACACTTAGCCTTTTTCCAAATCGCAATCTACTCAGTACATGAGTCTTAGGAATTTGCCACCAGCTCAACATAACTTGCCCTCAGTTCCCCATGTGCTCTCCACTATTGCCAACCGCTTAACGTGGATAATCGCCAAATAGGTCTCAAACAGGCACGTGTCGTCAGGGGAGGCAGGGGAGGCAGAGCCTCATCTGTCATGCTCCAATGAAAATAGCAAATAAATATGAAGATTTTTCCACTGATCTGTGTTATAAATATCATTTCTGTACGATTCCAATCATTTTTATAGTCAAAATCGCCAAATTTGCAGAGCTCTGCTGCAAATACACGAAGAGACAAGAGGTGAGGCAGCGACGAGCTCAGCCTCCCCTCTGATTGCACAACCCCTCAGTAACTGGATGGAGCGCGGGCAATAAGCGCGTGCCTGTTACTATCTCAGTATGTCACCAATGTAATGTTTGTAGACCCCTTCATTTCATGTCCTCACCTTCCATACTCCAGGTAACTTATTTCACGTATGTGTATAAAGATATTTAGGCTCGCTGGCCTCGTCATGAAACTGCAATGAAAAAGCACCAGGGGAGGACACGCCCCCCTCTGTGCCTTCCCAGCTTTTGACCTCACCGCACGTCACTGGTATCTAAGAGTGGATAAGTGTCGCAAGATATACTGTCTAATGCCATTATGAAGTCACTAGACTAGTTACGACGTATTAAGCATAACAAATAGCTTTTTGTATTAAAGTTGAAATTAATATATTTTATCATTCAATGTCAACGTATTGTAAATTCTCCATATCAATGTGTAGTGGGTCCAATGCGAGGACAGACGGTTCTTTAGAGGCAACACGTTTATTACACACTATGGGTACATAACACAAAGGGGTAACGGCCCTTTACACCCGATACCCTAAGGAGGTAGCCCCTCCGGACTAATGTGCCCTCACTCTGGTTATAGCGCTAACCTTACACTGGTTATGTTTTGAACCCGACCCTAGCCAGGGGTTCGGGTTCTGCCCACTGGGCTCTTCTCTTCAGTGTGGCTCTTCAGGTCTTCAGGACTTCAGGTGTATTAGGACTTCCGGATCCGTTCAGAGGTCCGGCTTTTGTACTTGCTCCAGACTCTCTCCGCCCCTAGCCACATCTTCCTTCTGGAACTCTCTAGGGGGTCCTGGAACATGACGGCATCCCCCCAGCCCCCCACTCCCTCTTGGGGTCTGGGGTACCTGGTGGCCCAAGGGCCTGACTCATCCCACCTAGCCTGTCTACCACCCCCTGTTGACACATATCCGCTACTGCAGGTACGGGCAATAGTGAATATACATACTACATGCATGAATATTGTATGCACACACAATGAAAGTACGGTCGCGAGTTTTTCAAGATAATAGTGTAGTGACATTGAATGAGTCAATGTAGCGCGTGCCACTGGGAGATTGGTAGACAAAAGAATTAGCAGTCCATGCGACCAGTTAGACCTGTGGGCACGGCACGGAGCCCAGTGGGGGATCCAGAGGGGTGCAGGGCCGAGGGCGGAGCCTTTTCACGCTGTGTAATGAGGGTTCGCGGGCGACCCCAGCGGCCTGAACCCCTGTGGATGTTCCCTGAGTGACGGACCCGGCGGGGAAGCGGGCGAAGGACAACGATCCTGCATCGCTGCCGGCTGGAGAAGGGTTGCGGGCACTCAGCGCGCGCATCGTGGAGCTGCTCTCCGCGGTGACGGCGCTGGTGGGCAGCTGGGTGAGGAAGAGCCAGTGGAGGGGGCTGCGAATCGGGGACAGCGAACGGGCGACTCCACCATCACTGCTGGCCAAGGACGGGCATCGAGTCCCACCAAAGTTAACCTGCCGCTGATGGCTCGTCCGGGGGCGCCTTCCCTCGCGAAGCGGCTGCCGTTTCTCAATTAGTTTTCTGCTGCGGGGGGTGTTTGGGCGCCCTTCTGACAGTGGTTTGTCACCATGTGTGAGCTCGTGGGATGGTCCATTGCGGAGGCGCTACATATTTTGCCCACCACCCTGGACGACGCAGCCTTGGCGACGTTTTTTTTTCATTTCCGAGAGAACAACGCTGTGTCAAGCATACGCTCAGTTGGCAGCAATTTTTGACCCACCATCCAATGCGCGGCAGAAATTTGTCATTCTTTGGCCAAGGTGAAGTGGTGCATTTACACAACCGGGTCAAGGTGTTGTGGATCATGAGTCCATTGGTTAAACCGAACCTTCATCTAAGCCCGTCAGTGTCCTTACACACAGACTCTTGGCAATTCGCACTCTACTCTATGCTGGAGTCTCAGGAAGTTTCCACCAACTCAGCAGTCCCGGAACTTGCGATCAGGTACCCGTGTTTTCTCCAGTGTTGCGAACCGCTTCACGTGGAACATCGCCAAACGAATCTCTACGAGTTGCTAATTGTCGCTACATACTATATCTAATATCATCATGAAGTCACTAGACGGATACCGCGCCTACATGGGGATATGCACACGTGTTGATGCGTCTCTGAAATTTAATGCCTATCGATTTGTAGTGTTGACCATGGAGACACACACTTGAACTTGGAGGCAACACGTTTATTACAACTCCCCAACAGGGTAACTAACTAACCTTACACTGGTTCTACTGCTTAGTGATAGCTACATGGTTAACTATGTGAGCAGCGGGTTAACTATACGAACGGGTCAGTCAGCTTACACACTGCCTGACCCA